AGGAAGAGGGATATGCATGAGAAACAGCCCTTCCAGCTCCCTCCTAACATCCGTAGCAATGTTTCTGAGCTTTTCTAACCTGGCCTTGCTTTGTGGAAGGTGATATTTCCCCTGAAAAGCTCTGCATTGGTTTCATTAGATTTCCTTGAATACATTATTTTATTTGCCTTTATTAACTACATTGCAATTGTGCTAAATATCTCAGGGAGTCATTGGAGCTGGATTATACATTAACACAGGCTCTGGAAGTGTTCTAAAGGCACATGCAGAACTCATGCTTCTCAACAGAAAAGCTTCACGTAGTGTTTAGAAGGACAAACTGCATTCTTTGAGGATCCAGAAAGGCTAAAACACAGAATACCATTTACTTTTGAGACCAGCAAAATCAGCACCGGAGTGGGAAATGGAGTGGATGTAATTAAATATTGAATAGCTTATTGATGTTCTTTCCTGGTATTTAAATCACACCCCATGTGGCTCTCATTACCCAAACACGCTTAACTTTGATCACGCGAGGACTCTGAAGTGGAAGTTGTCCACGTGTAGGCAAAGCTTCAGTGCCACGTTCATGGGATCAGGTCATGTCTAACTTGCTGCACCCTATTTTCTTTTTCTGGAAGAAGGTGCTGATTTATGTGGTCTAAGAGATGATCTCCCAAAGCCTTTTATTAATCTTTCCAGGGAAGGTGCAAAAAAATCTTCAGAAGCGCATGGGTGACAGGGGCTGGACGTGGTCGTAGCCGGTAGGTGACACCTGTAGGACAGCTCACGGATGGGAGCGGGTCAGTGTGCTCTGCAAAGCCTTAGTGGTCCTTCCGAGAGCACCTCCTGTGCTGAGCTGCTGGGCAGGAAGAGTGGAGCAATGTGTTTCTATCCATACCAGTTATTTTTAAGCTTTCGTAATTCTTCTTTCGGACCACACGATGGACCGAAACCGCGAAGCACAGTCAGAACCTGTCGTTGTAATCCTGGGGCATCAAATCTGGGCCTTGATTTATCCTTTAACACTGGCCCAGGCGTAAAGAGGGCAGACTTGACTGTTTTGGGATGCCAAACACACAGGCAGTTTCTGGACTTTTTAGGAAACTCCTTCCTTCGATGTCTTTAAGCTCCATCTGGCTGTGTCAGCTTGGGCAGTCGAGAAGTATTTTGGTTATCACTACCTACCTCTTTAAGGATTTTCTATGTAAGAGTTTATTTTTCTTTGGATAGCTGAAACGGTATAATTTCCCTGATGTGGGTGAAGCTCTACTAATATAAAAACACTTATATTCGTATGGCTTATTCCTGCATGAGAAAAGGGAATGAGCTTAGATGGTATAAGGCACCCTTATGCTGTCCGCACTACAGGATATGCTGCTCTAACCGTATGGGTAAAATATCACAGCTTTAGCCAACATAATTACACCAGAACAAAAGATACTGTGTGTAGACCAGAGCTACATGTGCCACTTCCTAATACTTTCATATGCCACTTTTGGCCACTGTTGTACCCAAATTAAAACGCTTCGTTCAGTCGGGTCCTTGTCAGATCCCAAGCAGCGGGGGAAAAAACTGGCCAGTTTTTGTGGGTGAACTGATATTTCTGACACGGAAAGGCAGAGGCAGGGCAGTTGGCCCAAGGCAGTCCCTTCGTTGGAGGAAAGCGTCTTCCTCTCATTTTGCTGGCTGATGAATTTTTGAACTAGGACTCTGCTCAAGAGAGAGATTGAGAGTAGAAAGGGAGAGGTGGCACAGGACAAGAAAGCCAACCCATCTGAAAATGTGGATAATTTTTTGTTCTTTCTGGGGCTAGTTCTTCTTTGCCTGACATGTTGCATGTCAACCACCATGTCAGCCATCACGGAAAAGAGAGTTTTTCTTTGAATAAACATCCGAGAGCCACTGCAAGGGGGAAAAGGCCATGAGAGATGGGAAGAGGAAGAAGACCTGCCTGCTCTGCTCCTCCATGGGTGGCAAACTCAGAATGGCTGGCACCGCTGAAGGGCTTTGTCTTTCCAGGAGAGGACAGAGGTCAATTTAGCATAAATCTCTGCAAACTCGGGAATGAAGTGGCTCCATCAGACTCACCATGTGCTTTTGGACGGTGCAGAATTTCTTGGGATGTCTCTCCCTGTGTCTTAGTTCAATCTCTTCAAAATGGAGACAGTAGTTAAGTGAATTGCTTGGATTTTGGCCAAACAGGCCAAAATACACTGAACCCATCTAATCACGGAAGTTAAGTAGCCTTAGGCCCCTACAGTGATTGGATGAAAGGCCAGGCCAAGCCAAGGGGTCATGGTGGAACATTAAACCAAATAAATCAAACCAGCTGGGAGACTCCATTTGCTCTCAGTGTTACTTCTGAGCTGACGGATAGGGAGAAAAAAGAAAGTTCATTCGCTTGCTCGCTGGAAATGACAGCTGCTCAGCCATCTGAGGGGGAGAGGGAGCAGGAACATCAACTGCTACTATCAATCAGTCGGTCCCAGGGTGGGAAGAAGGCTGGAAAAAAACGTATCGTGCCCTAAGAGATGGAAAAAGAGGAACTTAGGGAATGGTGGTGTGTTGTGTCCGTACCGCAGTGGTTGGGGACTGACAAGGCTTTCCTCAGCCTCTCCTGTAGCACCAAGCCTAACGTGATGCCACAAGCGCTGAGTGTTTGAGAGCTGTCAGCCCGGCTGTAATGGGAGGGCCTGAAGGACACTCTCTGAAGACAGCCTCTGGAAGTGTGTAAAGCGCTCAGGGAAGTGTCAGGGAAGAGAAAGGCCTAGCTGGGTATCCATCAGAGCGAAATAAAAGCACCTGAGTGTCTGAGGGCAAGGGCAGAGCAGAAACAATTGCTAAACTGGCTTTTCCTCCCCAGGGTACTGTTCAGTCAATCTCTTGTATTAACAGAGAAGCTGGTTCTGGTAACATGCTCCCGCTGTAGGATGCTCTTAATCCCACAGAGACTTCCATACCATGTGTATGGAGGCGGCCTTGAATACAACGCTGAGTAAAACCCCATCCAGTAAGGACTCACAGAGGGCAGTTGAATAGAATTGAGTTATAATTTCAGTAGGATGGGATATGGAATATTATCTGTTTATGAATACCAAAAAAAAAAAAAAGCGAAACCCTAGAAAAACAAGACCACTGGAAGCGGTTCTGAAGAACCAGACAATGCTTTTGTTGGGAGGGTCGGGTACTGTTTGCATCGTAAAAAATAATCCTGGAAGGACTGCAGTGGAACTGAACCATGCGAGCTGGTAGAGCAGGAACAGCAGGAAATGTTGAGATAGTTCCTTTTCCCAGTCCCAGTTTGTCTGGTTATTTGTCTAAGAGCTGCTGAAATTATTCTTTGAAGATGTGCCTTAGGAGCAGCTTATTATTGTACAGTCTGAGTGAGACAAAGCCATCAAAACCACAGCGCAGAGAAGAGCCCTGTCTTACACGGGCAAAGACATCAGTGCCTCTGCAAGACCCTCAGCGTAAAGTGCCTTGTTGCATTTCTCCTTTAACTCCTCTATATGATGCCGATAGTAACTCGATGTGGAAAGACACCTGTGGCTGAGCAAGCCAGGGCACTTCATGCTGACAGAATCATTCAGATTTGGTATTTTTTTCACCATGACAGAGCCGTGGCTACGTTACTCGACTAGCTAGACCTGAGGGCTGACCTAGTTTGGAAGCTCTTGATGAATACAACCACCCGTGTTTCTTTTGTCACGGTCTTTTTGCTTTCTATTGAAGCTCTTCCCCTGTAAGTCCAGCCTTCCTGTATATTATTCACCTCCACTGTGTATTTTTGATACTTCTTTGCACGATGCCCTTCAAATTTGAAATGGTCCCTTTGATTTCCGTTGCCTCTGCCTCCCTGCCTCTTGCACCTCTAACACCTTTCTCCCGTTCTGCCTCTTCTAAGCTGGGCAAAATAAAGGGTGGCACGTGTTTGCCTCTCTGCGGGAGTGTCACCGAGCCTGCACGGGGACAGCAGCAGCCTCTCACTTGAGCTTTCAGATGTGATGGCATGTAGACCCACTGGGGATACGCTCACCCTGCAAGCACGCATCAAACCCCGAACGTGCACCTCTCGGCTGTCGTCGTCCCCTGGTAGTACTTCTTGCAATCTCTCCTCAGTTTTGCGGAGTGTGTTTTTGGGGTTATACTATCACGATACGCATAAAAGAGAATCGCCATCACCGTCAGGTTGTTGCACGCACTGCACGAAGCACGTCCAGCAGTGTATGAAGGAGGGGAAAAAAAAAATAAAATAAAATTTCTGTGTTAGCACACACTTCAAAAATTATGTCAGGCCCACCAAGAAAAAGTAAGTCTAGTCCATGTGGAGGCATAGATAGAGAAAAGTAACCCAGGCTGAGAATTTGGTAAGATATTCATGCGTCAGATTTACAAATTGTTTTGGTTTCTATGTCACGTACCTAATTGTTCGATCACACATAGGAGCAGAGAAAAATACGAACGCAGCATTTGCCTTGCCTACTACTGTGAGGATCTCGAGTGCAGAGTAATTAGACTTGGACTCCCCAAGTGTGGAATTAACAGTATGTTTGGGTTAAACTCTTAAGACAAATCATAGCCGGGACTTGTCTCAGCTTCCCTCTGCCCCCACAGTGTAACCAGGCTCTGCGTCTGAGAATATTTTGGTCTCCAGTTCTGTTATTCTATCACTTCTTATTATTAGAAGTTTTTCTCATATCCCGATTGGTAGAAAATGTCATCATCGATTGCCAAGAATAACCTAATATTGTTTAAAAACATTATTGCTGGGGCTGACCCAGGGCATGTCGTGCTGTGAGCGGAGTAGACTTGGAATCACAAACTCCTTTCAGCTTATGGAAGCAACAAGGGCCGATGTGTTTCATGTGCTTTCTGAGGGCAAGCTGGAGAAGGAGGTTACACCCGCTTCACACTGGCACTTCCTGCCAGTCAGCAAAGCAGCAGTGTCCTGCGATGGCAGATGTTCTTCTTCCCCTAGGTGAGGACAGAAAGGCGAAACAGAAAGTACAAACCGGAGGGCGACGGAGCTATTCACACTCCTGCTTCGCCTCATGCGTCATTGTCTCCATCACAGGCGGCTCTTGCGGAGGGCTGGCAAACTCCTTTTCAAAGAAAATAAAAGCATCTCACAACATTTGCGTAAAACTTGAACCACATCTTTAGGGATTTCGAGAAGGACTGGATCGCATTAGAAAAAGTTTTGCCGTTATATTTCCCCCTCATCTCCAGTTACTTCCTGCCTCTTGCGTAGCTCTGGACCAGCCTCGTGCTTTCTAGGATAGGAAACATCGGAAGGGTTAGTGCTGCTCAACAAGGCTTGCACCAGCTGTTTCTGATGGGGCCACCCGATGCTAGGTGTTAATCCCCAAGAATTCAACCCCTTCCTGGTGGTTTTTCATGGTGACCAAGGATGACACAGGACAGGATGAAAGTGCTGTAATTATTGTGTTTTACATGCCTGACTGGTGGCACAGAGAGATGCAGTGGTTTGCCCAAATCCACAGTAAAACAGTGGCAGAGCCAGAAGCCTGAAGAATGAGCCTTGTATTTGATCCAAAATACCCTCCTACTGCCAATTCAAGAGGGTAGCAAGACGTTTAAACCACTTGGAGGGGAAGGGGGGATGCAATCACGTCCATGCTCGGGCTAAAGGTGAAGTTGCTGTCTCTGAACTCCTGCTAGTTGACCCTCCAGAGGGGCTGGTCTCTCTCCACAGGCTACTGAGTGAGCCCAACATAATACTGCTCTTAGCTCTTAGTTTACATAAGAGCAGCCCTCTCCACCCTTCCCTTGCCCCATTATAGCTATTGAAAACCTTATGTGTAAACAAACTACCACAAGACAATTTATTTCACCATTTCCAGTAATCTCTTTTTTTTTTTTTTTTTTTTTTTTTTTTTTTTTTTTGCCTTCTTCATATCTGTGGTCCAGCTATAAAGGATCCAACACGCATTTGGAAAGTTGAATATTCTGTGATTCATCCATGCCGATTTTACGGCAGATTAATGTGCTGTTATAGTGAGAAGCCATAAATAATTAGGTGCTTGTTGATTTATTTGTTGCCGTTAATATCTGTTCACAATTCAGGCTCTCTTTTTTAATTTTTTTTTTATTTTGGTGTCTGTGAATTGTTCATAACTGACTCTGGTTTTGTTACAACAGTCATTTTTTTTTAATAGATGTTTGACTGACAAACTGGAAGAAACATCTCCAGATTGCCCGTGATCTGTACAATTTGATCATTTGCTGCTTCCTATTGTCAGTGTCTGGTGACCACCTGATTCACAGGGCGCTATTTCTGTTCTGGTCTGCATGGTTAATACTTTTTGGAACAAAATTTTGTTATTATTTTTTTTCGTATGTCTTTGAAATGTGTTTATGACCCTCACACACACAAAAAAAAAAACCCCAAAACCCAACACCCCAAACCAACAACCCAACAAAACAAAGAAAGGCAAAAATTCTTAGTGCAATAAAGAAATAATGGCTATGAGAGGAAAGAAAAGGAAAAATAAGACAATGTGGTTACTCAGGGTGTTGCCACTTCACCTCGACTTTGCCATTTCACCCTTAATCTAATTTAGTTTGCCTTTTAGGCTCAGCCTTTTCCATTAATCCGTTTGTAGTTAACCCCTTGCACAGCGAACCTCCCCGCTCTGCTGGCTGCAGAACCGTCCTCACTGCACAAATGGCGAACGTCAGCGGTGAGTCACAGAGGTGGATTTCTCCACAGCTGAGCAATGGGCATGATAGAAATCTGATTCTTGCGTTTGAATAATCCTACAGTTTGGGGTCTGAGAATATTCTCATGATTAAAACACTTGCAACAGGCGATCGTGGTGTTAGTCAGCATATTCATTGTTCTCTTCGTTAGTTTGGTTGTGTACATTATGTTGCAAGCAAGCAAATTCACACCTGGTTTGTCATCTGAGTGTAGCAATTTGTAAAATTCTTATAAAGTTTTATTTAACATATGTCAGGATACAAAATATTTTGGAGCCAGTGATTTTGCATCACTTAAGAAAAGATGGCCGACGAAGACAGCAATTAACTCCTACAAATAAATTACAGGATAGCAATAGCTACAGCAAATCATTCGTCATCTGAGATGATGCTGAGACAGGAAAGAGCAGAAAAAGAGAGTCAGGCCAAGGCTGGGAATTACAAAACATATGGTCAGAGTAAGAGCTGTTTGGGGTAACAGGATAATATCCCCCGGGGTACGCACAAGAATTCATCACTGCAGAGATCCAGCAAAAAGTGATTACGCAGAGCGTTACCGAGCTGCTCTGGAGAGCTCAGACGGGGCGGCCCACGGGACCTTTTCCTACTCGACTGTTTATGATTCCATTAGCTGACGTTGCCAATGCCAATCTGCAGTCATCTTGTTCGAGATCGTGCTGTTTGCAAACCGAACCATATATCAAAAAGGAACAAACCTGGATGCGTGTGTAGTATATAAACAGGAATTCCTTGAATTTGTCGCTTTCCTGCAGAAGCCTGAGATTTAGCGCTGTGGTAGGCCACTCACGCAGCTTCTCATCTTCTGGGACTCGCTGCCAAAGTTGCCACTGGAGAAGACATGTTTAACTGTCTGAAAGAGAGGATACAGCCACATCACTCTTCAAATTCCCCCTGCCAACTGTTCCATGGTCAAACGATGCTATGGAAAAAGAGTCCCTTGCCAGCCCTAGAGGGAAACTTTAATGCTTCTTGCCAGGTGGATGGAAAGAGAATCATGCAGCCAGCACGAACATTATACTTCTGATAGCGATAGAACAAATTCTCGTACTTACTAGGTTTTTTGCACTACCTGTTGATCAGAATTCCTTGCCCGAGGTCTGTCCCTTGACGTTGAAAATTCCAATTGGACACTTGTTGCCAAAACGATTGAGTCAAACAAACAAACAAAAATATTGTGTCGTGCTCTTTGTAGCAGCAGAAAGAAGATCAGTGGGGAAAGCTCCTGGCTAAGTCAAATGTAGTTAAGCGAAAAGACAAATTGTAAAGCAAACTGGAAGAAAACAGAAAGACCTGCAACTGTGTGGATGAAACTGCTTGGAAGAGAGTTACAGAGAGCAAAGGCTGAGGGGAGGTATCATTTTTTTCTTCAGGATCTGATCTCCACTGGAAGGGAACTAATCCTGAGTTACTCCATCAGCCTCAGCGTGTTTCAGCATGGTGTGACTGTGACCGGACTCAGCCATAAGCACTTGGTGGATTAAACAGAAGCTGGAATTGAAGACCAAAGGCCACTAGTTGCTTAGATGCTACTCTGATTACTGATGGATAATGTCTCTCAAAACTGTAGTCTCTGAAGACCAATTTTTAATGAGCTCAGTTGCAAGTTTGGATGATTCCAGGTTATTTCTTGCATGCAGTGGATCAGCCCTAGTAACAAGGCTAATATTCTATCATATTCTCAATTTAGACTGCTGTGTGACAAATGCTGGACCGTACGTATGCTTAATCTTTTCCAGTGTCTGGAAAAAGTTTGACTTTCCTTACGTTCAACACAGTAACCTTAGTGTATGTGGCTTGTTTTTCTCTAGTGATGGACTGAGTGAAACTAAAACTCCCCAGCTACGTGCTGTTCCTTTAGCGAAGGGCCTGGGGTCGATCATGTCCGTGTTCAGGGGGACACAAGTCCTTGCTCAGGATAACTGCAGAACAGAGATCTCTGGTTTTCAGGCATGCCTAAGCTGGGGAAGGAGGGGAGGGGTAGATCCCGGTGCTGTAGGTGAAATAATGCTGGTTTTGCTCACTGTTGTCAACGTTTTGTCTCTGCCTTTGCAAGGACTATAATTCCCATGATTTATACACAACGGCTGTCCCAGTTGGAATGATAATTAAACTAACTGGGCAGGCTACCCGAGCCGTACTCAAGCTGTACAAATGGCACCAGCTGATCCGTAGCTCTGTTTGGGCACCCTCGAGCTTCCCCAAGCTGCGCTGACCTTGTTCCCCTGAGCAGCCTGAGCAAGCAGATGTCTAACAACCACTGGCCTTGCACCAAACACGGATAATAGGAACTGGGCAGTTTTTATAAGAAAACTTTTCTGAAGCCATGGTAGTATCCTGGCAAGCCAAAAATGCAACACAAACTAATCCACAAACAGGCTCCTCGAATCAAAAGAAAACAGGGGCAGATAACAGCATGGGGCTACTTCCTTCAGTGCAAATTGATAATGAAACATTCAAAATAACGCCGCCGTCTCCCTTTAAGCTGATGGATTGCATTTGATTTCTGAAAATGCTGAGAGTAGCATTCTTTGAACAAATATACCGGTGAATATTATTTTCTGTCCCGGTGGGAACAAAGTACCCCATCTAAGTCTCAATCTGCGGCAGGGAAAGGAAATCACCAAGGCTTTCCCAAGCTCTGTTTTTATTTTGTATTTGAAAACAGAAGTTTCAACCCCCGTGCAATTATCTTGCCGAGGTTTAGTGATTTTCAAGCTCTGCTTAATCACTTTGTGCCTTCAGTATCGCACAGCAAGTATCAGGGATGGTTGTTCATCCTGCAGCTTCAAGGCTAAAGATTAATATAAACCTGGAATCCTAAATACTTGCATTGCCTAGATCCTAATCTACACTGCCATTCTCAGAAATCCCCCTCAGCGCAGTTTAAGAGATGTAAAGACACGGCTAAAAATGTTTGCAAGCATTTAACACTTCCCAAGCAACGAATGCCATTAAACTCAACACAACAACTGTGTAAAATTCAGGACAATCTCTGTGCTAAGGAAATTGAAGCCAATATTTAAACAGGTCAAAATAGTCATCAGACAGATTCTTGAGAAGATAAAAGGAGAAATAACTCCTATCAGCACTTTAATCCATTGCTTCCAGAGTGCTACTGTGCACTCTTGACCTGGGAAAGGAATGAATCCTGAAGGGGAATAGCAATCATTGCAGCGAAATTAGAGTTCACAACTGTAAGGTGCTAATTTTGCTTAATCTCATTCGACTCGCTTAGAAAGTAACAAAATATTAAAAATAACGCTTTTATTTCATAAAAAAAAATGAGAAAAGATTGGCAGCTCCAAAGCTGAGAGCCCCTGTGGCTCCATTACCAGCACAAGAAAAAGTGTGTGGATCA